GTGTGGGTCTTGGATATTCCAGCTCTCTCTGAAGTATTCATTACTTCCTTGAGAATCCTGGAATATCCCCTCTTTTCTTAGTTTAATCTCATTCGATAGCATGATGTAGTACTAGATTCGAGGGTGTGGGTCTTGGATATTCCAGCTCTCTCTGAAGTGTTAGGTACTTCCTTGAGAATCCTGGAATATCCCCTCTTTTCTTAGTTTAATTTCATTCGGTAGCATGATGTAATAATATATTGGAGGGTTTGGGTTATGGATATTCCAGCTCTCTCTGAAGTTATCAGCATACTCCCTTTAGAATCCTGGAATATTCCCTCCTTTTTATATACACTCACTCACGACTATCATACATTTTCTTTCGACAATTTTCGACTTCGGATATTCCTTTCTTCACTGAAGTATTTCTACCTCATTGCAGATTCAGGAACATCCATCTCTTGTTTACTAGCTATTAAATAACGTTAAAATTCACAAGTATAAAGCTTTCTTTATGCTTTAAATTTTGTATCTTGACTTAATACTTTTTCTAAACGTGCCGTGTTTAGAAAGAAAGAAAAAGTTTTCAGACAATTACGACTCAAAAGTATAAAACTGTATTTATGCTTTTGTTTCTTAAATTTGTTTGAAGAAAAGTTCAAATTTGAAATACTAACATCCTTTTCTTTTCTCTTTTCTCGTTTCAGATGAAAAACTGAGGTCAAACTTCATGACCTCGCAAACATTTGACAATATAGATTTTGAATTGTTATATTATTTTAACCTGGTACTAACATTTATTTCTCTTTTTGGTTTGTTTCAGACGAGGACGATAAATTGTGTGTTCATATTGAAATAAAATGCCGAGCATTCAATGTACCAATATATATTTTCTTTTCTTCTTTCATATCGATCACTGTTAATGTAATTTCTTTGATTTAATAATATAAAAAATCCACACGCGCTTTCAGTTTCAAATATGTACCACCTTTAACCCTCCAAGGTCGTGCGCCTGCATAAGGTGGAGGACTACGTTTCCAGGGAGATTATTCGGCCGTTCTCTAGTCTCTGGTTTTTCGTAGCTGGCAGCGCACTAAAATCTACACTAGTGAATTTCATGGATAAAGATTTTGAAAAGAATTTAATTTGGCTTTTTTCATTGGCTCGATCACTTTGGCTTCATTTCTCTGGCACACTATTAATGTCTTTATTAAAAAACTTATTTAAACCACTCCGTATTGTTTGCGCCTTGTTTTTTGTAACTTTGAGCTTTTTGGATTTCAACGACTTCGAAGATGCCTTTACGTTTTCCTGATGTCATTTCCAGTGAATAGACGCCTAATTTTAAGGGAGCTGTTAGAATATAAAAATAAAAAGAATTCCTCGATTCTTTCGCACACACTACTTTTTTTAGACTATAACATTTTTATTTTTATATTGTGCAGCTTTCCATAAATTGGGCGTAGACAAGTTATGGTTTTTCGACGAACGCGTCAACTTCATTTTTTTGGTTTTTCAACAAACATACCAAGTTATTTTGGGTTTTCAACTAACGCGTCAACTTGAGTTCTTGGTTTTTCGACGAACGAGTCAGCTCGATGTTTTGGTTTTTCAACAAAGGAGTCAACTTGGTTTTTTTTTTATTTTCAACAAATGCGTCAATTTTTTGGGGTTTTCAACGTTTCAAGTTCCCATGGTTTCTTATACCTTTGATGATGCTTCTTCCAAGCTTGAAATGGTTTCCAGAACATATGAGTTCAAGTGGTGTTACAAGATAATGTAAGAAGCCAGCTCTGAAGATGCTAATGGTTTATGAAGACATTTATGACCAGAGATGACACATAGCTAATTATTATTGTGTTTTTAGATGTGTGCCAGAGTTTTCGAAATCTTGAAAATGTTTAAAACACGAGTTAATTTGTTACATTGATTGGCATTGTGTTTTGGCCTTCCTGTCTCTAATCACCACCCCAAACTCAGTAGTGTATCAGGGCACGCTCGACTTACGAGTCGATATGACTGGGTGCGATTCCCAGCTGAGTTGGTGGAGAAAATGAGTCGGGTTTTCAGATCAGTTACTTTATTAAAAATAGTGTTTTTGCATTGCGCCCGACCTACACATATTAGTATTGCACTTGTTATTATTTGGGCGGAAAAGAGATTTTCTGTAATGCGTATGCATGTCTAAAAAAAATTTGAAACTAAGTGAGGTGATTACCGATAAGAAGCTCGTTTATTTTTTGTTTTTTAATGGAGAAGACTCTTCAGCATATCACAGTTAAAATCCCCTACCAATATAACCTCCTTACCAGATCTAGTTGATTGTCTTACAACGTTCTCAAGGAAATTAAACACTTGCAGATTATAATTAGGTGGTCGATAGTCTAGACACATCCAATAATAGTACAGGTTTTGATATCTTGTATCTTCGTCTCAATCCACACTGATTCATAGTCGTTTACTTCAAGCTCGCTAAATCTCTTGTATCCTATTCGTTCTGCTATATAAAGACATACTCCTCCGTGACGATTTCCATCAACTATCAGCTATTGAAATGTCTGTGGAATCCTCAAGGCCACCAAGATTGAAGGTTAATTGGTAAGCGCAAAAGAAGTTACAAAGAGGAAAGATCCTGTCCGAAGGTTTGTTTACCTAGCTGACAAAGAGCAATCTGAAATACCAAATGCAGAGGAAAATCGCATGCTACTCATGTCGAGGCTTGAAGAATGTAAAATATCAGTAGCGGAAAAAAAAAACAGCGCTTTTTCGATTCCGTCACGAATACAACCACAATTACAAAGTCGCACTGTTCACGACGAATGAAAAATCTATTATTTTCCACGCAATTTTGCTGTTCACGACTATTTTGCATTTACGATGAAAGGAGGGGAGAAGAAAAGAATCGATGTGCGCGTTTTAAACAAACTTTTCTTTCATCATAAAACTACCGTAGAGCTCTTCGTGTTTCTTAAGATCGTGTTTAATGATTATATATGTCCCCTCCCTTTCTTTCAGGACTAAAAAGGAATTAAACTCCATTTAATGCTTTTATTCAGTTAGACAACAATTGATAACTTTTCTTTATAGTTTATGTTTTACTTTCCCTTGATTTTATTAATTTAAGCCAAAAATTTCCATCCATTCTTATCCCAATTTCTTTTTACTAAGTTCTTTTTTCAGTTATCCTTTTAATGTTAGTTTAAATCCCCGCTCATGTTTGGCTCGGTAGTCCAGTGCTCTGGAATAAAGACTTAATCTTCTTATTTAATGAAGCTTCACTTTTCGCTGCAAAAAAACGTATATTAAAGTTTAAAATTAGTGGACAGATTGATCAGCCGAGTTTAAATTAAAGAGAATCTATACGTGCCATCACATATGACATCACATCGTCATCATGATCATCAACATTGTAACGTTCTTAACACAATGATTAGTGTGTATAGTAGGTCTATTTAATTGGAATGAATCAATGAGGCAATCTCTGAATACATTTAACTGACGATCACGTGGTAGTACTATTACCAGAGATATAGTTACATAATCAAAGTCATGTCAATYACGTAACATCCCCCTTCCTTTAAGGTTCGACAATATAAGCTAGAGTTCACTTTACTAATTATCTAAGTCGGCTATATTCTTGTTTGAAATCACAGTCCTATACATGTTAATGGTGCATCATGCGCTAGCACTGATGCGAGTCCTTATTGTTTGACATAGTCCTTGAGCCAGGTAGGCTCTCTGATAGACCTCTTTGGCCTTGTATCAGCAGCTGGTGGTGTATTCATGGGCTCCACAGTCTTTGTCTTTGAGCTGGGTGCTGGAGGTGCTGGTACTGCTTCCACAGCCACTTCCTTGTTTGGAATCTCTTGGTTACAGGTATCCTTTGGTGCTGTTGTAGATACCAATTTGTGTGTTGGACCCTTCTGTTGTTTCAGGTCTGCTCGGTTCCTACGGTATGTGCCTCCATCTGTTTCAACCTCGTAAGACCGTTCGTCATATCTCTTGACGACCGTAGCCTTGTCCCATTCTTTCTTTCCAAGGCGAAATGGTCTCATCCTCACTACATCTCCTTCTTCGAGGGGCGTTAGATCTCGAGCTCCTCTGTCATAATACTTTGCCTGTTTCAGCTGTTTTGCCTTCGTTTCTCGCTTTACAAATTCTGGACGTACAGTCTGAGGCTTCAGCAGCTGCCTAGTTGTGGGAAGCTGTGTCTTGCAACGCCGTCCCATGAGTCGTTGTRCCGGGCTGCTGTCCATGGACTCCGTTGGCGTGTTGCGGTGTGCCAACAAGGCGAGATGGAGGTCTCCACCAGTWTCTTTGGCTTTCTTAAGAAGCCGCTTGGCCTCTTTCACTGCRGCCTCAGCTTTCCCATTGCTCTGTTGGTGTCCAGGACTACCAGGACAGTGGTCAAACCCCCACGCAGTAGTGAATGCTTTGAACTTGTCTGAACTGAATTGAGGGCCGTTGTCACTTATTACGATGTCTGGAATCCCTTGTCTGGCAAAATGACGCTTCATCTGCCTGATGATGGTGCTTGCTTTGGTGTCGGGTAGATGCTCTATTTCCCAGAAATTAGAAAAATAGTCCACAATGACAAGGTAATCTTTGCCATCAATGGTAAATAGATCTGCTCCAATCTTCTCCCATGGTCGTTCTGCAATTTCATGGCTCATTAGGGTTTCTCTCTGCTGTTTGGCCCCATAGGTGATACAAGCTTCACATTGTGAGATGTACTGCTTGATGTCTGAGGTCATGCCTGGCCAAAACAGGCATTCTCTTGCTCGTCTCAGGCACGCGTTTACTCCGACGTGTGAACTGTGCAACCTCTGTTTCATGGTTTGGCGCATGGACTTTGGTATGAGCAGGCGCTCACCTCTGAACACAAGTCCGTCATACACACTCAGCTCGTCTCGATAGCTGTGGTAGGGCGCCACCATGGCTGGGAGGTCCTTCCTCTCCTCTGGCCAACCAAACTGTATGACCTCTTTTRGCTGTTGGAGACTATCATCATCTAGTGTGGCCGCCTTTAACWCCTCGAGGCGTTCGTCTGTTATCGGYMAGTACTTGACCGCATTTAYCCTTTCGAACTCGCCTTGGATGTTCCGGGATGATGGTAGGRAGGCCCGGCTCAGCGTATCTGCCAGGTACATTTCTGGTCCAGGCTTGTATACTATGCGTGTGTCGTATTTCTGTACTTTCAGCAGCATTCCCTGGAGCCTCTTTGGTGCGTTCCTTAGCGGTTTGGCTGTAATGGCTGCGAGGGGCTTGTGATCACTCTCAACTGTAACACTTCGACCATATACATATTGGTCAAACTTTTGAAGGGCGAAAACCACGGCGAGCATCTCCTTCTCTATTTGTGCGTACCGCGTTTCTGGTTCTGTCAGTGCACGGCTTGCAAAGGCCACGGGCTGTCCTTTCTGCATCAGAGCTGCCCCAAGCCCTTTTTCACTGGCATCGCACTGTATTGTTAGTTCTTGCTCTGGGTCGTAATATTTCAGCAATGGCGAAGTGGTCACAAGCTCCTTGACTTTCTCAAAGGCTGCATCGTGCTCATGACACCACTTCCATTCGGTTTCCCTGTGCGTCAGCTGTTGAATTGGTTCTAGTACTTGGGACAGATGGGGTAGGAACTTAGCAAGGTAGTTGATAAACCCGCAAAACCGCCTAACTGCCTTGACGTTGTCTGGTTTTGGCATACTTCTCACTGCCTCTACCTTCTCTGGATCAGGCTTCAGTCCTTCAGCCGTGACTAGGTGGCCCAGATAGGTGATCTCTTTGCACAGCAGCTTCAACTTTCTTTTGTTTAGCTTCACACCAGTTTCTCTGCAGCGTTGCAAGAATCGTGCAAGCTTTGTGTTGTGGTCCTCTGTTGCTTCTTCCTCGGTGTCCCCAACTCCATATATGACCATATCGTCATGCACAGTCAGCAATCCGTCAAGTCTATCGAGTGCTTGGTTAAGCCTCTTTTGGAAGATTTCTGACGCAACGCTGACACCAAACGGTAGTCRTCTCCAACGGTATCGTCCAAATGGGGTGTCAAACGTGGTTAGAAGACTTGACTCCTGGTCAAGCTGGACATGCCAGTAGCCGTTTCGTGCATCCACCTTCGTAAATACCTTGGCGCGTGCAAGATCCGGGAGTACATCTTCAATTACCGGTAAAGGGTATCTTTCCCTTCTAAGAGCTTTATTCAGCTGTTTGGGATCTAAACACAGTCTCATGTCTCCCSACTCTTTGGTTGCAACGACCAGATTGCTAACCCAGCTTGTTGGTTCATCAACGGGTGCTAGAACTCCTAGCTCCGTCAGTCTCTCCAGTTCTGCTTTCAGCTTAGGTTTTACTGCAAACGGTACTCTTCGTGACGGTGCTACAACCGGCGGCACTGTTGGATCTAGAGTGAGATGCTGTTCGCCAGCTAGTGTCCCCAACTCGCCTTCAAACACGTCCTTGTGTTCTTTGACGATTTCCTCGGCGGTCCTCCTTCCATCCTTCTCTTTCGCTGCCGAGATAGTCTCGAAGTTCTCGYTGTGAACTTTAATCAAGCCCATTTCCTGTATGGTCTCAGCGCCTAGCAACGGAGTCAGCTCTTGCKTGACAATCAGAAACTCTACTTCATACTTTCGGTTGTTTTTCGGGTTCACAAGAGTCAGTTGGCATACCCCATCAGGTTTTAATTCTGYCTTGTTCCACATCTGGAGGACTCTTTTTGTTGGCCTTATCTCCTCGTTGTGAATATATTTTTTCGGCAACACATTCACAGTGGCACCGCAGTCAACATGGAACTTGACCTTTTGCGTACCTATCATCATGTTGGCGTAGATCTGCTTACATTCTCCACGTGCTGTGTTGACTTTGTTGATGGTTTCCGGTTTCAAGGTCACGGAGTAATTATACTCAATGTCGCTTGAGTCCTCATCTGTTTCGTCTTYAAGTAGATGTGCTTTCTCTTGTCTGCACTGTTTAGCGAAATGATTCCTTTTGCCACATGAATTGCATGTTTGACCCCACGCTGGACAGTTGTCATGGCCGGCTTTGTGTTTGCGGCCACAATAACCACATGTCTTCGTGTCTGGCTTTTGTCGGTTGTCATTTCCTTTCCGGATTGGTTGCATTGTTTTCATGCTTCCACTGTTTTTACCCTTTCTCGATACCTTTAGCTTGTGAATCTCATCGGCTTTGTTCCCTGGATCCATGTCTTTTATCTGTTTTGCAGAAACTTCATCACTTCTTACGATCTCGAGGCATTTCCGCAACGTAAGCTTCGATTGGCGCAACAAACGTTTTCGAGTGTCGGCATCTCGTATTCCCAAAAYGAGCCTGTCTCGTATTAGCGAGTCATGTAAACAATCGCAGAAATTGCAAGACTGCGCTAAAGTCCTGAGTTCGGCGACGTATTTGTCAATACTTTCTCCATCCTTTTGGTCGCGGTTGTTGAACACGTATCTCTCGTATGTCTCATTCATTTCTCCAATCGCGTAGGCATCGAATTGCTTAATAATTTCGTCTAGTTTCTTCCGATTTTCGTCGGTCATGTCGAAACTGTTGAAGGTCTTCACGGCTTCCGTCCCGATCGAGTATAAAAACAAGGCTACACGATACTCCTCTGTTTGCTTGCTGAGGTCTGCCACGATCGCGTAGTTCTGCCATTGTTGTTTGTAAACTTTCCAGTTAGCTGATTTATCCTTTCCTTGTAGGTTCAGCCCGGTCGGCGGCTGGATTCCTTGCAATATCGGCGTTGCTCTCTGTTGTCCTGGTGTTGATTCCGCGTCTCCAGATCCAGATGATTTGTTCATCGTTCTGTAAACTCTATTCGTACTAGGCTGGCTTCAATTTTAACCGCTTGCCACCATGTAACGTTCTTAACACAATGATTAGTGTGTATAGTAGGTCTATTTAATTGGAATGAATCAATGAGGCAATCTCTGAATACATTTAACTGACGATCACGTGGTAGTACTATTACCAGAGATATAGTTACATAATCAAAGTCATGTCAATCACGTAACAAACATCACTACCATTAAGTAACATGATCGCTATAAATATCGTCAACATCACTACCGATGATGATGATATTTCACAGTATTAAAAAATCATTGCTTTATCGTCATCGCCATGATCAACCCGACCCACTACCATCGCTATCAACACTGATCGACATGTATATACACACCAGATGAAAAATGGAATAAAAACAATAGGCGGTCTTACAAACCATGATTTTTGAAACTCTGCTATAAAATAGCAACAGTAGAAGATGGCATCATTGAGAGCCGTATCATCACCACTTCCCTGATATCTCTCCACTTGGGTTTTGATACCACATATGTACGAGGCATAGGGACAATCTCTACGGCCAGTCCAAGAACCCCAGCCAGAACCACCACCAGAAAGTGAGTAGTGGTCTTTGCGCTTTTTGAAGTTTTGGCAACGGAAATTATAGTTGTTTGCTGTAAAAAAGTTAAACCATCTGATCAATTGAAATATGCAACAAATGCAACAAGCCCTCTGGCAACCGTTTTTTAAATAGCTGTAAACGCCTATTTCTTAAAAGGTTGTCATCGCCAAAGGCGTAAGGCAATAGGCGATAGGAGAAAGGTCATTCCAAGATCCAAGAATAGTTAGAATGACTTGTTTTACTGCTACTTATTCTCATCAAGAACATGGACCTTAGTGTTGAGACCGATTCAAATTCTTTGTATTCAACCAAACCATTTCCTTCTCAGAATGACCTATCGCCTACCGCTTTTGTCAACGACAACGTTTTTAATTTAGAAATAGCCGTATGTATCTCAGTCATATTTCGTGGCTCTCGTTGGACGATCTCAATGGACCTCACTCGGGCTACTTCTTTGTTACATCTTGAATTATTTTGAGAGAGAGTTCTTAAAGGGGCACTTGGATGAAAACGCAATTTTTGAAATTCCAAATAATTGAAGTATTTGAGGATAATATGACTCAATTACTATTATAAAAATTAGATTAGTGAAAATTTTAGCCTGGGAGCCACTCGCTGTTGAGATATTTTGGGTTAAAAGTGAAAAGAACAATAGGGTTGAATAAATGACGTCATTTACTCACAATTTAGATGCTAAATAAAATTGATAATTTTTCCCCGCCACTTTTGACTGTGAAGGAAACATGTTGGTTGGCTACTATCTGGGCCATATAGATAAGTTTAAACAAATCTCAAGTCATTTGCAATTATTATTGATTTTCATCCAAGTGCCCCTTTAAATTTCTTACCTGCCGTGTTATCACCACTTCCTTGCTTTGACTCAGATCTGGCCTGAGCGCTGTGCAGAAAATAATACTCTGGACAATGCGATGTATAAGACCATCTTCCCCATCCTCCTTTTCGGGATGTGACGGAATTGGGATATCCTCCACAGGGCTTTCTGGGGAAAAAATGTTCGTTAAGGCTTGGCTTTCGTCCTTTAATATAGATCTTTATAGTCCTTTATAATAATAATAATAATAATAATAATAATAATAATAATAACAACAACAATTGATGATGATGAAGAAGAAGAAGATGATGATAATATTAATTTTATAAATTTATAAATAACAATAATTATAATGATAACGCTTAGCTCTTTTCTCAGTAAATAGCGTATGTTTTGAAGTAAAAAAAGCAGCGCGCACCAGTCGTGTCTGGCATGCGTGCATCGATAAAAGGGGGTTCAGCCGTCTGGAATACATAGAGAGTTAATAAATAAAGGTTCAAACGCTAGGGCGAGGTTTTGCATTAGAATTCAAGACAGAGGGCCGCAGACCCGAGCCCGTGCGTTTGAACTGGTTTAAAATATCAACTAAGCCCTAAATTCCATTGTTTCGATGCAAAACACGAAATACTAATATAAATTATGATGAATTCAGAGAGGTAGATTACTGTTGCTTTGTTCTTTTGGAAATAGAGTACAATATATCCGCGTTTACATTCTATTGTTCCGATAGAAATAAAAATAGTATTGTTTTCATACCTTGCGTTCTCTCGGGCAAGTATAAGGAAAAGTAATTAAAAACCTATCCCGGGTTTATAATTCAGCCCCGTTCTCCCCTGTTGATATCAATTCCGCCCCCGGCTTTAAGAATCTGGGTTTTCCACCGAATTTAAGAACCTACATCAAACAATGGATTTAGGGTGTGGTTGATTTTTAACACTATCACTGAACTTAAGAAAACCACATCTTTTATTAAATAGTTTAGTTTTTTGATCGAGGTTAAGCATAACCTTTAACGCTGTTATAAAGCACCCAATGATTCTTAAGTGGAAAAATTGGTTGTTGCGCATATCCAGATTCCTTTTTTTAATAAAAAGCCATAGAAACTGAATATCAAAGGAAAATTAAGCCTGCAGTAATAAACGTAATTATTGGTGTGGTTCAATCCTATTTTAATTTTCTCACTGGCATGGGTTGCTATTTTCACGACTAACCTGCAGAGCAGCTTGATTGCATTTAGTGATGTGTCATCTCCACTTCCCTGATATGTTTCAACCTTGAGACTAAAACCGTAGCCGTAGGTACCTCTTGGGCACCAGTCTTCATGGCCCCAGGAGCCCCAGCTAGTGTAGGTGTAGGGCTGGATAGAACCTGCATAATCCCTTCTTCTTGCATCTACAGAACACGAGGCGAGACACAACACAAGTGCGTAGAACAACATTGTCATGTTCAAGATTTATGCAGATCTAAAATGATGATATACACCTTTTCCATAGTCTAACAACGTAGTTTCCTTTTACTATTGGAATATGAAACATGTTAATTAGAAACGTGATTTTTCGTATTTTAGCAAGAAAATATAAAATCAAAAAAAATTTTTTTTAGCGCGATCTCCGACCCTCGTCAACGTTTTTAAAAAAATAGGTGTATATTGAATATAGCCATATGAGTATCACAATAATGTGAGACAAGTGAGAAATCTTCAACACGAGAAGATAAATTTCGTATCTCCGCGCGCCCATGTAATCTGGGAAGGACACTTTTAAGTATGAAGAGGACAAAGGACACGCACGGTTACGGCACGGCACTGACATGATGGTCAAGGCAAAGCGCTTACGTTTTTGCTCTATGTAGAGAGGCGAGGAGGGAAATAACAGAACATTATGCTGACAGGATAATGACATTTATGTTGAAACATTATACTGTTGTTAGATCCTGTAATCCAAGTATATAAATTTGCACATCCCAGTGATCAAGGATGCATTAATATTGATCGGTAAAGCGGTGCCTGAACATTATCTTACTATTATATAGTTTCACGTTTTTTAAATTTTTTTTATTTTATAGTTCTTTCCCTTGTGTGTGCGTGTGTGTCTTTCCCCCCTGGCAGCTTGTCTTGTCGAATCCATGTATTCTGTTGTTGCAATTATATATATTTCTCTATACATTTCCTTCTATAATTTTCCGTTTGACCCAGCCATTTAGCTCGACTAGCTCTGCTATTTCTAAATGGCTGCCGCCCATCTATTTATACATTATTATTTTATAAATTTTATTGTATATCAATCCAAGGAGTGCCAAATAAAGATGTTTGTTTGTTTGTTGTTGTTTGTTTGTTTGTAGTTTCTTACTTTAATAACACTACTTTAATTTTGGACAATTTTTTTTTCAAAATGAACAGACGCTACATGCATACCTTGTATTCAGCGAGTCAAAGAATCTTGTTCTCCTTGTCTTCTTCCAGCCAGCAGCGGATAGCTGAAATTGTGCGCTTTATCTGGTTATTCGCCCTTTTATGCACTCGATTTTGTGCCAACTCTACGCCTACTCATTTTAAAAGAGACTGTTTTTGTCATCTTAATTGATCTATATTGCAAGTAAAGTGCCTTCAAATATGAAATCTAAATGCCATGGCCATCTGATTTGTGGTGTTTGTATATAATTCACCCATGTTGGTGCATGTCTCAACCTCTGCTATTTGTTTCTTATATGCAGCTGACCACAATAACATTGATAAAGTAAGAAGATACAGAAGGTAGTTTAAATAAACAGAATAAGAAATTGCTTAATTTTTAATATAAATACATAGAAATAGATGCAGAAGAAGATTCCAATCCGGCTTACAATTGGAAAAAATAAGGCATCCACTGGCTAAGCAGCTAGCTGTGGCTTAATGCATGGCCGGCAACCGGCCAAGGTCTTCGAAATAGCAAAAATGCAAAGTTTAATGTACTGACCAGACTAAACCTCAAATAAACTAGACACAAGATTTACCACAAAATGTGGTGTTTCCTTCAGTCCCCGACTTTTTTACAGCCGCTTAGTGACAGTGTGATGTGAAGTAAAAAAACATTAGGATAACCGCAAAAAAATCATGTAGTTGCGCGACAAACTAGAGTGTAAATTATTCTATTTCAGGAACGTTCGAGAAAAGTATGAATAATGCTAGCTATCAGGATATGATATGATTTTGATAACTTTCTGTAAACACAAATTGAAATTAAAGTATTACAATTATATGACTTTTCCCTATATCACAGTGTTTGTCTGATGGATCTGAACTTCCAAGACGTGGATAAAGTATGCAGGAGGGAGACAATGGGGTTTGCGGTTTTTTGGTCATGGTCGTCTTTTTGCAACGCTATCAGGATATAATATGATTTGATACCTTTCTGTAAACACAAATTGAAATTAAAGTATTACAATTATATGACTTTTCCCTATATTACAGTGTTTGTCTGATGGATCTGAACTTCCAAGACGTGGATAAATTATGCAGGAAGGGGACAATGGGGTTTGCGGTTTTTTGGTCATGGTCGTCTTTTTGCCGCCGTTTTCCAGAAAATTTTATTTTTGAATCCGGTTTTTTATTCTCATCCAAGTCTGCGTACACGGATTTTGCAGGTTTTACGGTTTTTGGCTTAATCCAGTTATCTTCGCGGTATTATTTATTTTTCCTTTTTTCAGTTCTCATTTACTAAAAAATTAAAAAGTAAAAATTTCTCGGTGCGGTTTGCGATTTTGGTCGTTTTTTGAAGCGGCATTGACGGATTTTTATAATTAAATTGAGAAAGACAAGGTTTTATTTTTTCTCGACTTTTCGATAACTCATAATGATATTAGGTGCCAGAAAAAATGTTTATTGCGGTTTTCCCCAAAACATTTTTCAAACCGATTGTCGGTTTTGACCAATACCCCCTCTCTCACCCCCAACTAATGTTTCCCTCGTGAAATTTTAGTCTTTATTCAGCACACTTTTAGGATCGATATCAGTATGATAAATGATGGTAATTGAACTTCGTGTCGTGCAATTTTGGTCTGAAATAAAACTTGCAATTACAAATCCCACTCCCGCTACGCGGGATTTGTAATCGCGCGTTTGATTTCAGACCAAATTGCACTCCACTCAGTTCAATTACCATCATTAAAATCATACACAAGAAGAAGACACAATAAAGAGTGCAGAATAATCAATTTAATGTAGTAGAAGAACTAAATGCGAACAAAAAAAAAACATCTAAATGAAAAAAAAAATTTTTTGTTGATTTATTTTGTTTTATTTTGTTTTATTTTATTGTTTAAAGAAAAATTATTTTTTAGCTCTTAAGGATGCGATTTGGGAATTAATCGCACTCCTTTGAACCAATCAGATCGCAGGAATTAGTAGTGATTATAAAAAGGATATGATTAAGCCGTGAATAAAAACCATATCAGTGAAGTGATATGATATCTGTATACGTGAACTGATGGAAATTGTAATTTTGTCATTTTATTGACCCTAAATGTGTAATACACAAGTTGTCTGGTATCTTTTTTTATTCACTAGTTTTCCATATCACTTGCTCGTTCGCGATAT